CAAGGCTGCCAAAAACCCAGAGATAAGAACTAATTTACAACATTCTCCAAACACTGAACTAAGACGTCCATCAGTTGAGTTTAAGAGCTTCTTGGCTGTCTGCAAAGAACGTCTTTTCAAACCTGGCTTTTATCTTCTTGAAGGAGGGGCCATTACCTTGCAGCCTTACTCCTGAGTCGCCTGTGCTGCTGTAATTGTTCTTTCCTCCGAGCAATCCTTCGTGCACGTGCACTTGGCACAGGCTCCTCGGGAACCTCCTCGTCGCTGCTGCCAGCCCCCACAATCTCTGAAGGCAGCAGTCCACTCCCTGATGGTCCTGGCCCCTCACCTGAGTCCTCGCTCTCCTCAGCCATCCGCACCTGCTGCCAGCTAACCACAACACCAGGGTACAAATTTTAGATATGATTTGATACATTGATACACAGAATAACAGAATTGGAAGGGACCTTGAAGTCTTATAGTCCAACCCCTCTGGCCAAGCGGGAAACCCTATAGCATTTCAGACAAGGGCTTGCCCAATCTCTTTTTGAAAGCCTCCAGTGATGAAGCGCCCACAACTTCTGGTGGCGAAGCTGTTCCACTGGTTAATTGTCCCCACTGTTAGGAAGTTTTTCCTAAATTCTTCTCTCCTTGATTAGTTTCCATCCATTGTTTCTCATCTTGCCTTTGGGGGCTTTGGGAAATAGTTTGACCCCCCCCCCGTTCTTTGCTGGAGCCCCCCCCCAAATATTGGAACACTGCTATCGTGTTTGAATGATTACGACAAAGGTGTGTCAGATACAATTGTTTTTAAATCATTTTTCACCCCCATTCTTTACCTGGGGTAGAAACGAGAGGGGGGTGGGGAAAGGCAGGAGTCACACAAATAAAAACACAAAACTCTATTCTTGGATCTCTTTCCATTTTAAACCTTCCTTTGGTTTAGTTTTACCCTTTGCCTTACAATAAGGTTTATTTCAAGAACAAATGTGAATTGCGTAGGAGCAGCCGCATTAGAGGCTGACATGCCTTCACTGTGAATTCATGTCGTTTTTAGAGCACTGTGACCTCTATGTTCTCTCCTCTCCCAAAAATGCAATTGGAATTTAGAGGCTTGTTGAATGTCGGGGGGACGAGTGGGTGCAGTGGCCTAGAGGTGGAACTCTTCGCCTCACAATCAGGAGGCTGTGGGTTCGATCCCAGGTAGAGGCAGTTATTTCACACTGAGAATGCATCTGCTGAATGTAACTCCGCATTGGCAACAGGAAGGGCATCCGGCCAGTAAACACTCAGCTCCATTCAGTTGCTCAGGTTCCAACTCACATGGGGTTGTGGTGTTGTGAACAGTGACGATGATGATGATGATTGAAGGCTGGGGTTGGAGAGGACTTCGGAAATATGTTCCAAATCTCTTCCCAGGACAAGATCCTGAAATCATTCCAGATACATGACTGCTTTGCCTTGGATTTAAAGCTTCACTGAGCACCAGGGCTGGCTGGGGAAGTTTTGAAAGTCCATCCATCTTAAGGTTTCTGAGGTTGTGGAAGTTTAGTTTAATAAATCAAGGTGTGTGCTATGCTTGAAGTGATGTTTGTTCCATTCTGGCAAATCAAACCCCAGATTTGCTAGGAAGGTTAAAAGGCCATTCAAAGGATGGGTGGGTGTGACCTAAGGAGAGGTTATACTAGTATATTCTTGTGACCAATAATCTCTTAATGACCCCATAATCCCTTGAGGGGTGGAGTCTGGGCAACGGAATGGAGCTGAGCGTTTACTGGCCAGATGCCCTTCTTGTCACCAATCCAGAATTTTGTTCAGCAGATATATTCTCATTGTGCCCAGAGAGAGAAATAACTGCCTCTACCTAGGATCGAACTCACAGCCTCTTGATTGTGAAGCAAGAGTTCCATCTCTAGCACCAGTCACTGTGCCAAAATGAACCACGTGGTGTCCCATAGAATCGAGAAACTATACTTCCTATTTCTTTGCATGGAATGGAGGTGAGGCCTAGGGAGGCCTAGGGACCACCCTGGTGGGAAGGAAACAGCGTTCCGTGCGCCTTCGGCATTTAGTCAATGCCGGCCACATGACCACGGAGACGTCTTCAGACAGCGCTGGCTCTTCGGCTTTGTAACGGAGATGAGCACTGCCCCCTAGAGCCGGAAACGACTAGCACGTATGTGCGAGGGGAACCTTTACCTTAGCATTCATTAGTGCTTCATCTTCATATTCAGCAAGTCAAGATCATAGCTTAGCAATAATGCATAAGTCCTGTCTGTTTACTACAAATTGGAATGAGAAACCAGCGACTCGGTGCAGTGCTGATTTGCCCGATTCCTATGTGGCTCTTATTTTTTCCCCCCAACCAGATTTCTGTAATAGCTCTGCAGTTCTGTACATTTGAAAAGAAAATGATGGAAGAAAAACATGCCAATATGGGTTACTAATGGCAAAAGGCACATTTCTCATTTGCTTCTGTCTTAAAATACGGGAATGTATAGCCGGTCCTCAATTTATAATAATACACTGAGCAACCCAAGTTACAATAACACTGAAATAACTTACAACTAGTCCTCACACTTCTGACCAATGTAGCACCCCCATGGTCATGTGATCCAAATTTGGGAGTTTGGCAACCGTCGTGTATTTAAAATGGTGGCAACATCCCGGGGTCATATGATCCCAGCCGGCTTCCAACAAGCAAAGTCAATGGAGGAAGCCAGATTCACATTAAAGTAACTGCAGTGATTTGCTTAAAAAAAAACCACTGGTATTAAGTTCATAAAATCAAGCCAAAATCACTTAAAGGCCCAAATCATTTAACTGCCTTGCTTAATGATGGAAATCCCATTTGTGGCCGTAAGTTAAAGAATACCTGTGCAATTAAGTCTGTTATTCTGTTATGTCAAAGGTGTCAAACTCGATTTCATTGAGGGCCGTATCAGAGTTATGTTTGACCTCCGGGGGGGGGGGGGGGGGGGGCTTAAAAATTTAGCAACTGTTTCTCTGCCCAGTTGTTGGGCATGGCCTA